CTCATATCACTCCTTTCTCAAAAATATTCGGATTCATCAGAGTTGGAGTTGGACCTGGATTCGGACTTCACGTCGCTCGTTAATAAAACACTGCGTTTGGAGCCGGAGCCAAAGCTTATATCACTCATCCTTGAGATAGTCACTCTTGTCTTCTCCATGTATACAAAGTGGGAGAATCTTATTTCCTTATGCCCTCGCTTAGATGTAAGTTTGAAAGATGGAAAGTTTCATGTGGGGAACATATACATGTGGAACGGCAAGCTGGAGTGTCTCCCTTCAAACTGGGTGAAATTCCGGTTCACAGGAGGAGAACTCGCTTCCCATTTTCTCTGCCAAGGTTGCAATGGCGAGAACCATAAAGGTTATATCAAGGCTCCAGTTGAGATCAAACACCCTTTTCATCCTAAACATTCTCTTCTCCTCGTCTCCTTGAAACTGTTTAGTAGCCGGAGGAAATGCTATTGCTGCGAAAAATCTCTCAAGAAGATATTTTATTATTGCTCCGCTTGCGATTTTGCTGTTAATTTTGCTTGTGTGCAGAAACCACCAGACTTGTCTATGCACCATCCCAAGTGGCATGAACATACTCTTGCTCTGTTTCCAACACAGACTCCGTTTCCTTGCAGCGTCTGTGCCTTGACACATTCAAGCTGTCCTTTCTACACATGTCCCCCTTGTGACTTTGTCATCCATCAAAAGTGTTTCAGCTTACCACGTGTCATAAGGATATCTCGCCATCCCCATCGTATCTCGTTTACTCCTTCTTTTGACCCCAAGAATGTTGGTCTTGTAGTATTTGTCGCAGAAAGATTGACAATGATTATGGGTGCTATTCTTGCGTCAAGGACGGCTGTTCCTATGCGGCTCATTCGAAATGTGCCACACAGACCAATGTGTGGGATGGTAAAGAACTTGAAGGAGAGCCAGAAGAAGACATGGATGAAGAAGTTGAGCCGTTTGTGACGATAAGCGAAGGAATTATACAACATTTCAGTCATGAACATCATCATATGAAGCTTGATGTCAACACGGACAGAGATTACGACGAGAATAACTTGTGTCAACCATGTACCACGCCAATCTATTTTGGTAACTTCTTCTCCTGTATGCAATGTGATTTCATTCTCCACGAGGAATGTGCGAGTTTTCGTCGTAAAATATATCACCCGATACATCCGCATCTGCTCACTCTATCGAGAGCACACAAAAGTGACCATCAGGAGTTTTTCTGTTCAGCTTGTTCTTCGTCGTGCACAATTGGTTTCTTCTATGAGTGTAATGAAGAAAATTGTTATTTTAAGGTACATGTGGAGTGCGCCACAATTTCTGAGCCGTTAGTCCATGAAAGTCATGTACATCCTTTATTCCTAACATCCAAACCAGAAGAGACGCGAAGAACATGTTATGTTTGCAAGGGTTTAAGAAGAGGTGGTAGTGACACATTCAATTGCATTGAGGAGTGTGACTTTGCTTTGTGCTTTGGATGTGCTACTATACCTAATATGGTGAGGTATAAGCATGATAAGCATATGCTCACTCTTTCTTATGGGGAGAAGACAAGTACCATGACGTATTGGTGTGAAGTTTGTGAGGGAAAAATAGATCCAAAGAAGCGGTTTTACATGTGTGATGAGTATTGTTGTGTCACCCTACACATGTCATTTATGCTTGGTCGGGACTTAAACATGAAGCCCGGTTCATCGTTGATAAGAGGCGATAAAAAGATATATGTATTGCCTAACAATCATATGTCTAGACCTATTTGCCTTCATTGTAAGAAGCGCTGTCCATTCAAAGCATTTTTCATAGAGAATGAATTAGCATTTTGTTCCATATTTTGTGTTATGTCGAAGAATTAACCATGTAGCTTCATGTACCTAGCTCTTTTTAAGAGAAATATCTATGAATTTTCATTCTGTTGCATTGATTAGTCAAACAATGATACGTCCAATATTGTTATGAGATGTTTCCACGGAAATTTTTCTCAAAGAAGTATCTTTCTTTTCATGGATTCTTGAAAGACTTACTTTTAAATTTTCACTAATCTCAAAATCTCAAACACATGAGATGAGAAAGGAAGATACTTTTGAGCCAAACCCTTACCATCCTTTCCCAAACCTTCTTCTCTGAATCCCTTTTTTCTGGATGTGTAACCCTTTCTTTTGTATCAGCATCCATTTTTAGTTACTTAAATCGTACCAGATGATCAGTTTTGCACTTTGATCGTGCTTATATATCGTTTGTATATGATGGCCTTGTGTTGTGGATTTCTGATCTGCTGTTGCCCTTCGAGGATCTCAGGAGAAAAGGATTGCTCTCTGATGTGGAGAAAGATATACCCGGTATGATATATCCTGCTAAGTAAAGAAAGAGTCTTTGCTTCAAAACTTATCCTGCTATACCCAGTATGATATTTATCGTATATATGCTTTGAAAGCAGCATACTTTGATCTCCATAGGTTTTACTGGAAAGAGAAGGCAAGGGAAGAAGAAAAACACTCTTCTGCCTTGAGTAATTAAATATTTCGTATCGAAACCAGAGGGGGAGGATGCATTCATTGAAGCTGCAGTGATGGCATTAGCAGGTTGCTTTCGTTAGTCCAAAAAATTGTGCAAAGATAAAGTGAAGTATATGACCTGTATAATGTCTGTTATAAACTATATCATGTGGTTTAAAATTAGACCAAATGAATTCACAACAAAATCAAATTGGCCTCAACAAATATTTCCAGCTTTTAACATTAACAAGACTCTACATTACCCCAAAAGAAGAGGAGGATTCTTTTAGCCATAGCAGCAAATCAATTTTTTTACTTCCACCACCAAAACTGTCGAAACAAAAACATCTTCCTCATCCTATTATTATAAGCCATGAAAGCTCTAGCTTTGACTGGATCACCATTCAGATACTCAAACGCATACATCTGTTTTGCTTCTTCCAATTCATCAATCTCCATCACTGCTTTCAACAATTCCTCTGTGTTAATCAAAGTTTTGCTTTGAACCACTGCATCAGCTAGGCGGCGAATGCTAGAAGCAACCACTAACATTGCTTCTTGACAAGGATCCGAGTTTCGAGAACGTTTAGAAGGTCGTCTTAAAGGATCTCGAGGAGGAGGAAGATCTTGAGACTCTTCATGCATATACTCACTTGCTCCTGCGTATGACTCTGTTCCATCTGTATCGCTATGTTCTTCAGAACTTCCTAAAGGGAAGGAAACAGAGTCTTCTTCAAATTGTTTTACGTCATTAAGATGATGACTGCTTTCCTTCTTCACTTTGTTATATTTACCTGGAGTTTGATAGTCACCGCATACTGTTCTAAGTTCTTCGTACATCTCAATTTGCTTTCCCCTAAATGCTTTTGCGTCTGGGTTTACCTATTCCAACCATTTTTAAGTTTGATAATGATGCACAAAAGAAGGATGATCTCTTAGTAAAAGAGAAGGGATAATGGGACTTACAGCAATATATCTTCTCCAGAGCTCATCACTTTCGCAATCGATCATTTTTGTGCTCGAGTTCCACCAGAATCCATCCCGGCTAAGTATGTCTCTCATAACTCTGTACCTTTTCTTGATCGTCTTGAGGCGATTGATGGCTTTCTGGCTAGTCAAGTTAAGATTGAAACGAGTATTAACCGCAACACAAGCAGCAGTGTAAGCTTTATCGTTGAAACATTTGTCAACTTTGTTCCCGTTTTTGGCCTGGACAGCCAAAGCTTCAATCAAACACTTATCCATTCCAACAGACCATATAACATTTCTCCCCTTATGCTTCATCTCTTTTCTCTCTACTGGAATCCCATATTGATCCATTCCTGGTTCACGTTATGTAAAAACAAGAGCAACAACATTTCAGAAAAAGTAGAATTTTACGCATATATCATTATACCATAACATCACAATAGAAAAAGCTTGGTCGTTCTCACAGACATAAACGAAGCTCTATACCATTTTCAAAATCGATCGACCTAAACTCGTCTCTCTTCCAGATATTCGAAGAAGAGCTCTGAAACTAACTTAGCTAATGATTTTTAACAAAGAAGTCAAATCAGCTCTCAGTAGTAGAAATCAAATGCGTATACCTTCACAGAAACGAAATCAGATTCACGGTGATTCAGATCGCCGCCGGTGAACGGAAGAGTTAAAAGTGGTGGAAGTGCGACATTTCCGAGAAGGAGAAGCTCGATTTACGGTTTGGTTTCCCCTTTTTCTTATTTCGTATGGTCGGAGGAGTATTTTTTTCTTTTCTCGAAACCACTCTCTCTCTCTCTCTCAGAACTTGTTTCTCGAGTAACCCAAAGTCGTCGAAGAAGTTTCCCCATTATCGCTTTTGACAAAACGGTTGCGTTTTTAATAAACCTTTGAAAAAATGGACCCAGAATAATAATCGTAGTTTTTGTCTGATATTTTCTCGCCTTTTCCCGGAAAATTTCTCTGAAACTTCTTCTTTTCTGGCTTTTTTTGTTCGTATCGGTCTACGTGGCATCATGTATAACGGGTCAAACCCGAAACTAGATAATGGGCCGAGTTTGATGTAATTCACAAAGCCCAAACGCATCGGGTTAACGGGACCGACCCGATTCTTCCGAAAACGTAAACCCTAGCTTCCTCCATTGTCTTATATATTGCCGCCTGTGATTACTTTTCTCAATCAACTCATTCTAATGATCGATTATTCCACAAAGTAGTTCTTTCATGTTTCGGTTTTTCTCTTCTTTTTTCGTAGCTTGATTTGGTTCGATGGTTTTCAATTTTTGATTTTCTCTGAAGATTTGAATCCATTTTTGTTTTCAATTCGATTTCGGCTAGATTAGGGTCTAGAGTGAAGGCAGTGATGATTAAAAACTACCTATTTTATGAGTAATTCTCTGATTAGAAAATTTACCAATGGATCCTTCTGAGCCTTCACTGCTTATTTGTATTCACAATTCAGTTTTCTCGGGAAAATTAGGGTTTGGTTTTTACTGTTTAAGATTGATGACGATGAGAAAGAGCCGATGGAATGATGATAACGATTTTTCGGATATATTAATTTATTGTGTCGACCAAAACTCAGACTACAATTATCTGACTAATTGGCTCTTTCTCTCATTAATCTGTTATTCTTAATTTTAATCTTCTGTTTTTGGATCTCTTAATTATGTTTTTTGAATGATTTGGCTAATACAAGTTTGAACGACTTATGAACGATTTATGAAGAGCACTGTCTATCACCGTCTTAATTTAGAGACTGCTTACTTAGTTCGGTGACGAGTAATGTGGATTCAATAAACATTCACAGTTATGAAATTAGAAAAGACATAAATAATTTTTGACCTATCATTTAACAAAGAACAAATCATAAGAACGATAATTAAACGGCTGTTAACTCTGTACTTTGCAAGTTGAGATTGTGGCCTTAATCTAGTTTTAAACTATATGCTGGGTTCTTTTAGTTATCAAAAGTAACCCCGGTTATCCATCCCAACCGGTTAAGATATCGGTTTAAACTGAGAGTACCAATAGGAACAGTATATACTGTTCCTTTTGTAAACAAAAATTGTGTACGAATAAGAACAGTATACACATTCTATCAATCTTCACAGAAATGGATATTGTATACCAAAATCTCCAATTACCGAAGCAGTCCAGTTTAGCCAGTGTTACTGTTACAAAATTGAATCAGATGTGGAATTAGTCGAATAATGATGAAGACAAGACTTGTTTTTGAAAAGCCTTGAAGCCAATTGAGACAGTAATAACTTTATCCATTCATTCTTTCTTTTAGTTTATTATCTCTGATGAATCTGTTTTGAGTTAAAAATGAAAATCTGTGTCTGAACAGAGTATAATGCTAATTCAACCATGACAAGCAAATATTGAGGACCAAAGAACCATAGTCTTATATATGGTTTAACGCCATCTTTTGTTTTGGTTCCAATATGGATGAGTAGAAGAATCATGTTTCCTTGATGCTTGTTGTTGTTGTCCCCTCATGTTAAGCTGGTTCCTACTTGGGCTATTATCAGGACTCCATGATTCATATCCTGGATTGCTACTCATGTACTGGCTATTCCCTTGGTATGAAGTAACTTGTGAACCCGATGCAATCTCGTTTTCTTGATGTGAGTAGTAACTGTTCTGACTCTGCTGACTCCTCCATGAACTCGATGTACCTGTTCCCATTTGTCCTACTGGTTCACTAACTGCATACGAGGTTGTTGAGATTGGTTGTTGTTGTTGTTGTTGAAAATGTAAATTGTGATGAAGTTTTGGTTGCATATATTGTTGCTGTTCTCTTTCTGTGTGAGCCAATGTGATCGAGTTACTGTATGCTGATGGAGCATGTCGTGGGATTGATTGTTCATTTGTTTGATGCCATTGCATTGAACCAACACGAAGCTGTGTACCCGATCTAGCAACTGCAGTACCAACTTGGTTTTGCCTTGAAAATGGATTCCGAATCCCTTCTTGTCCCCATCCACTCTGTAAAATTGGAACAATACACTTAACTCAGTAAGAGAATAAGAAACAGACATTAACATCTTCTAATGGGGGCATTGTACTCATCAGGTTAGATCTAACAGCTGGAATTCATAATCCAGTTTGGTGTTAGCTAGAGCCTGTTGTAGTTCTTTCCTTTTTTCTATATGTCGTGAGATTCAATTTGGCAACATGATCTATTAATAGGGTTTTGGATATGTCCGAGGAATTTGGGGTGAATAGGTTTCAAGTAACGCACCATTCCAGGATTAGTTGATGGAGTGGGAGATGGAAGGGAAACTTCGACCCTTTCTTCAACCTGTTTATTTGAGCTACTGCTTGAGTTTGGTGCACCAGTCTTAATCACATCAAGCAGTTTTACCATATCTTGGCCGGCTAAATTACTGGGTTTTCCCGAAGTTAGTGCATAAACAAGATCTGGGTTCTTAAGTAACGCAGCTAATAACTCGAGATCAGGTTCAGGACTGCTTAGAGATGAAGAGGTTGTGGCAGCACCAGCAGCAATTCTTCGTTCATCAAGTGAATCCTGTGGTTCCGTTAAACTTTCTTCTGGTGGCTGTTGAGATGGAATTTCAGGGGTCAAACTGTCATCATAGTCCATTTCCCTATCCCATGGTTCTTTAGGGTTCAACGGTATAGTTTGAAGAGACTGATATGTTGTTTCTCTTTCTCGCCGGTTTCTGTTTCTCTGAACATCAGCCTCCTTGCTATTACCACCAGCGGCTACTCTCCAGAGTTCGTCAAGTTCCATTCCTGAAGAAAACTAGGCATTAGAATGAGTCCTAACTAACCACCAAAATAGAAGTGAACCAAAGAAGACCCTAAAGAGTCACATTCAGCTTATTCAATAAGTGGCCAACGAGATATAAATCCAACGAATGATATTACCTGGTGGTACATGCCAATCAATCTGTTTTCTCTTGCAATTCTTGAGAATAGTTTGTGAACTCATTTTCATCATAACTCCCACCTTACTAGAAATGCTTTTAGGAGGTGTTGAAGGTTTTTTAATTTCATCAGCTTGTACCGGGACAATTACGGCCGAAGGTCCATTGACGGGTTGAAGAGCCGAAGGTCCATTGACAGGCTGAACAGCCAGAGGTCCATTGACGGGCTGAATAGTTGAAAATCCATTGACGGGCTGAACAGTCGAGAGTACAGGTGTGTCTTCAGTCTTAGCTTCATTGTTCTGAATAGGTGCAGAATCCTTGGCTGAATGAAGAGCCAAGGGCTTCTCAGGAGCAACGATTTTCGAATCACCAATGGCACTTGGTAAAGGATCCTTTTTACTGTTCTTGCTCTGCATATAAAGGGCACGCATCTTTGCTTTCTGAATATCATCAGCAGACATTGGGCGGCTTCGACCTGAAGTTCCTATTCTTACTGTCTGCGGACTCTTTCCAGCAGCTTTTTGGCCTGGTTGTTCCACCATCTGTACTTTCCTGCGTTCTTTGTTATCTGCTGAAAGCTAAGGACACTAACTTTGAAGTGAAGGATTATCCTGAGCTAGGAAAAGGACTATAACATGATGTGGAATATTTGGTTGCTCTCTTGACATAGCAGGTTTCACATGTAAAATACCGACTAAATAACAGAAGTAGCCAACAAGTTCAATACGTTAACTTATCCAATGCATTGAGAAAATGTAAATCAACTGGTGCTTTTTAATAAAAGAGCTCAAACGAAAGGATACACGATGGATTTGAACCAAGCATGTGTTTCTTGGTGGAATCATCTGCAGAAGTAAGCAACAGTTTTGGACCCTGTGACGATTCAATCCTCCTGTACCAGAAGATAACTAGTAATTATGAAACCACCTAACTATCAAAAGGGAACCTGTTCTAGATGGAATTTAACAATCAAACTGATACCTGACATTCTCTGACTTTCCATTTGAGAGACTAAGAATATCTTCCTGTTACGACACGAAAAACGGTTTTAAGGAACTGATGCACGTAATAGAAATAAATTCATGTTTTGCACCACTTACAGGATTGCTACTATCACCCATGATTTCAGCAATACTGCATAACAAGACAGAAGTCTATGAGTAAAATGTCACTAAACAACAAAATGAGAGGTAAAATAAGTATTATTCGACACATAAACCAAAACTTGCCTCTGTTTCAGAAGCAATTGACTCTTCGAATCAATTTGCGAACTGTTACGATTTTGTTTCTTCATAGCTTGGATTTTCGCAAATAACTTGGTCCACCTTGATAACAAACCTTTTGCCCTGTTTGATATGTCTGATCTTCAAATCAGATGATGAAATCGAATAAATCACAACAAGAACTTTGGCATTGATGAAAGCTACGCAGCATTTAGGTTTTTCAGAAATTACACCTGATATCCTATAGAAACGAAGTCCATTAACGCTTTGTAATATGGCAGACATATTTTCAGGAGATGCTTTGTGGAGAGGTAAATGACAAAGAACCTGCGTGTTAAATGTCAATTATCCATAATAAAACAATCTGCATATTTTTACAGCCATCCAGCTGCAAGTAAATTAATCTCGTACCTTCAGGATAAGAAGTAAGACACTTGTTTGCTCTTCACTAGCAGCTTGACTTAACCATGTTGTAAGTATCAAAACCCCTCCTTTTGATAAAAACCTGTGGCACATATAGAAAATGACTGTCAAGACGGGAATATAATAACAATAAAATAAAATAAGACAGTGGGTGAAAGAGAACCCCCAACTAGTACCAGATCAGCACAGAAGCATCTTGTATCTGCATGATCCACTCCATTAGTTTCACCTGGCCTGAAAATGTTTCCTCTTTACGCAGCAGAGAAAATATATTCTCAACAAAGTATTTGTCTGAATCGCTGATGTCAGGTGGAATATCTTCAGGTGGAATAAGTGCCACTGTTTCACCTTCACCCCAGCTTATAGAACATGCCTCCGGATGTATAGAGTTCAAGGGAACGGGTTCAACATGATTTGTGGCATTGTTATTTTCCGGAACACCATCATCTTGTAAAGCATGCGTATTGGACATAACTACTTTCTCCCTTGAAAGCCTCACCTGTTTCCTCACTCTTGTCTTTTGAGTAACAAAAAATTCTCGAACCTGCCATTGAAGAAAATAATAAAGAGACAAACCAAAGTCTCATGAGTACCTCAACATGACAGATCTAAACTGACATGGAATTCTAAAAGCATGGCAAAAAAGAGTACATATCATGTAGAAGAACAATACCTGGGCGACTGTGATGCCAAATAAAGCACTTATCTCCCGAGATTCCCTCTTACTAATAGCATCTTTAATTGCGAAAACTGCTTGTAGATACTTAACAGCCTTAGGATTCAACAAGTCTCTTGGCCGCTTTCCTGAAATATTTACAAATTCATCAGATACTAGGCATCGAGCACGTAAAAGTTGGGTATGCCTTTAATGAACCTAGAGAGCAACAATGAATTGAAACATTCTCTGTGATATACGTAATTATGCCAAAAGATCTCACGAATCCTAAGATGACTCACCAATTTTAATGGACAAAGCACCAGCAGCCTGAAACAACAAAAAAATTAAACAGATTAATGTCTTTAACAGAGATGATTACTTGATCAGAGAAATGACATAT